GCACAGTGAATGTTTACTATCTAGAATGTAAGCATCACAAAAACTTATCACTGGTATGGCTATATCAAGTACATACTGGCCAATTACATGGTGTGTGTTTCTCTATTCATGTTTGAGTGTGCTGGGTTTAATTCTGTTTATTATATACTAATACCTATTAGAAAAATTTAGGAAAATAAAGAGATCATCACAAGAAAAGTTTCACCTATCCTAACTGCTTATGATTGCCCTGGTCTTTCCCTGAATTTCAAGCTTATACACATCTCCGCCTGGCATCCTGATAAACAGACCCCTCAAATTCAACAATTTGGTTCGCTGAATTCTTCTATCCAGTTTACTGAGGCCTAAAACTTAGGAGTCATATTTTTATTTCATTCTCTTCCTCACCTTTTATAATCAATTCCTGCTCTTGACTTTCCCCACAAAGAAAATTCTGTTGATCAACCAAAACTGAGTCTATTAAACTTAACTGCAGCAAGGGAGAGCACCACTATGATAGAGTCTTGGTAGTTAGGGGAAGTTAGGAAAGGTTATTTCTGGGGTTTTGAGATCTGGACTCAAGATGGTTTAAGGCAGGTCCTTGAAGGTGGGGAACTGGTTGGGATGGGCAAAGTTTGCAACACAACATTTAAAATTAATGGACATAGCAAGAAGAGCAATCTGTTACCATGTCAGGAGAACTGTTTGCCCTGATGCACAAATTGTTTGTCCAGATAAATTAGTTAAACTTTCTTGACAAAGTGTAGCTAATTCTTGGCTTACAGTCTTATCCTCTTGGGCAGAATGCTTTCCTGAATCACAGTTACATCATGTTGACTCAGTTAATTCATAGATTTCCTGAATCTATGTTTTGTTGATGTTGTTGCCTCTGCCTGAAATAATCTTTTCCCTCCTATTTCCCACAGTATGTGACTGTTTTTTGTTCTTTAAAAACTTAACTCAGGCAGTGTCTCCTATAGGCAATGTTTCCTGAACCTAGACTGCTTCTAGGTGATACTGTATATAGTGCTATTATTACATTCTCCATGTTGTGCAGAAATGAGCCTTTTATAAAGGGAGAGAGCCATCTAAAGGCTGGTTGTCTTATTAATTTCTGTATCCACTAGTATTCATAACAGGGCCCAGCACATGGTAAGTTTTCAGTTTTTACTCACCCAAACAAATTGGGTCAGAGGAGGAAGACCAAAGGAATAGGAGATAAGAGGTGATGATTTAACTTTAAATTAATGTGATTGAGGCAGTATCAGTGCACCCAAATACAGAAATTTAAGTAAGAGAGGAAGAGGTAAGAGTACATTTAGGAAATGCTCCTAATTGGGATAATAGTTTGTGTTGATTATTTCTCCAAGAGTGATAATGCAAAGAGAACACCAATGGAGGATTAATATTTGAGGAGTATCTACAGTGGGTGGGAGAAAGTAGAAGAAGCCCTCAAAGGCATCGGTAGAAACAGAGATGAGGAGGATAAACCAGAGGATTTCCTGATTTGGGCAATTAAGTTGTACACAGTGACCTCTGAAAATCTGGTAGAATAGGGATATCATTTTTAAAAAATTTAGTTTGTAGGACAAAATAAGTTTGTTTCCAGGTTTTATACTTAGAAAAATATATTCTTCACCTGTATTCAACGAGGACTTCCACAGTGGGTATAGTTTTCTTTATTTGGGAGTCAAGTTTAACTTTATTGAGGACCAGTAGGAAACATTACTTTGAATTAACATTTTCTATTTTTTCTTGTTATCTTTTTTTTTGGTAAGCAAAATCATTATACATAGATTACCTGAAAATAAAATGTTTGGTCTCCCTTGTATTAATTATTATCTTAATTGCTAGATTATTTTGTAGGCCAGTGGCAGCAAGCAAGATATTATGATTATGTATTTTCTTTTTACCAAGTTCATTTTAGAACAGTTACAGATATATCACTAAGTTTCAAAAAATTTCCAGCTGTGAAACCTTTTCCTTAAACTTGAACATGGAGCCCCAACATGTAAATCAGAGAAAGAGAAGCTTGTCTGTTTGAAGCTGTGACAGGAACTGAAACGCCTCCTGAGAGTTGTGTCGGTCTTCTAACCTCCTCCTCTTTCCTTCCAAACACCTGTGGTACCAGGGACTCCTCTGTGGAAATTCTAGGGCCAGCTAAAGCATAGTTCAAAAATCACTGATATGTAATTCTCCTTGTAGAAACGCTGATGTCAAGCCATTTTAATACTGAAAGTGACATGATATTTAGACCCCCAAATCAGATGATACTTTCAGTCTGCTATCCTTATTGGTCAGTAGAATGGTACAACAACAAAGAGCAAATAAATTTGTACTGGTGCTATTTAGACAGAGGTTGGATATCAGGGCTTCTCTGATAGCTCAGTTGGTAGAGAATCCACCTGCAATGCAGGAGACCCTGATTCGATTCCTGAGTTGGGAAGATGTGCTGGAGAAGGAATAGGCTACCCACTCCAGTATTCTTGGGCTTCCCTTGTGGCTCAGCTGGTAAAGAATCCGCTTGCAATGCGGGAGACCTGGGTTGGGAAGATCTCCTGGAGAAGGGAAGGGTTACCGACTCCAGTGTTCTGGCCTGGAGAATTCCATGGACTGTATAGTCCATGGTCTCGCAAAGAGTCAGACACGACTGAGAGACTTTCACTTCACTTCACTGGGTGTCTTCCTTTCAGGGAAGTTGTCCAAGTAGTTCCTTTGTCAGTGGGAGGTTGGCCTACTATTAAATGCAGTCTCTTCCAACATCGATGATTCTCTGGTCTTACTGTCTACATTTATCCTACCTTGTAAATACCATCTAATAGGATGGGATCTGTTGTATCTTTCATTTCTTCAACTTTGTAGTGTGCTGTATATATGACAGGCACTGTATTAGGATGCAAGGGTACTATGTAAACAAGTAAGTGTAAACAAATTAAGATACAACTTTCCATAAAGGAAATAGAAAATTGCTGTAAGGTTTGAGGAGTACAGTTATAGAGGTAAGCAGAGGGTATTCATGGGACTCATGAAATGAAAGAACCCGGACCAGATAGGGGCTTTTCAGAAAAAAAATGCTAGCTTCTATGAGGACTGAGCTAACTCTTCGAAAATGAGTAAACTTGAACCAGAAGCAAATAGAGAAAGATCTTTCTAAGCAGAGGAAGGAACATGTACAGAAGCTCTGAAAGATAGCCAGCCTTGTTTGAAGAGCTCTGAGTAGTTGAGTATGCCTGTGGCTTAGCATGTATTGAATGGAGCTGGTGGGTGAAGCCAGAAGAAAAAGACTATTTGCACCATACTTGAGAATTTGGACTTTACCTTAAAAGTGATGTGAAGCAATTGAAGGAATTTAAGCAGAGTAATGGTCAGATTTGTGTTCTAGAAAGCACTCTGGCATTAGTCAGGAGAACAGATTGGAGTAGACCTCTCTTGGAAGCAGAGAGACCATTAAGTTATTAAGCTTTTGCAATGATCCAAGCAAAAATGAGGATAGAACTTACATCGTGGGTGGGGAAATTAATTCAGGATATACTAAGGAAATAAAATCCATAGTTACTGGTCAGATAAAGAATAAAAGCAGAGGTGACTTTCAGGTGTTTGACTTGGCCAGCTGGGTAAGTGTATAGCCTTTTTTTGCTAAGAGAAAGAAACTAAAAAGAAAGGCATCATACAGACTTTTGCCTCAAGATTTTTAGAGTGCCACCTAGAGCAAGGATATGGATGCTTTTTATTTTCTTATATGTGTATTTGTATGTATTTTTGAAATGTGATATGAAAGTATATAACAGAATATATTATCAAGGAAGGTAAAGGAATTGTTTTTGGAAGTCTGTTGAATTAAGGTAGACTCTCATTTAAGGTAGTTTAGGAATAAGTGATCTACTTAAAAGCAAAGGAATGGATTACCTTTTGTCCATCCAGTCCTTTGATTATTTAATATCCACCTTACCTACTCTATAAATCAACTTTGAATTGAGAAATAAATTCATTTTTAGAAAATCCAGAGATTTTTATCATTCATCTCTCAGAATTTTTACCTTTTAAGAAAATGTGTGGTAAGATTGGCCTGTCTGTGTGAATTAGCTAATTTGGTAATAGTTCTGCTGTGGCATTATGCACTTTAAAATACAAAGTGATTTTCCTCTGAATGCAGACTTTGATTTTCAAGTCTTTCATCGGTGTTATGTGGGAATTAATGTTCCATCCCTTGTTATTTAACATTCCTGGCAGAGATGTTTCCTTTATATAGCTTTATCACATCGTTTTCTCAAGTTAAGATCTCCTTTTAGGCTAGTTGAAGTGCTTAAATCCCTTATGGAAAGAATGAGCAATGCTCCTTAACAGAAAACTGAGGTATTGGTTTCAGATTTTGAGATTTTCTCTATAAAGGGATACATTCATTATATTTATTCACTGACTCTTAAATGCTCCATTGTTTCTTACTAGGTAAGTCTTCCTTCTCTGTAGTTTTGTGATTTCTTCTGTACCTTTGAAAGCATTAGAGAAGTGCCTCTTCCAGTAACAAAACAAAAACACTGACTGTAGTTTAAACCAAAAAGATTCCCAAATTTCAGTGTTTCAGAATGATTTTTTCTTGATGAAGATCAAAGTTTTCAGAATATTTTCAGAAATTGTTAGCAGTGTATAATTTGGCCTACATGTACAGATTTCCTTATTCAGTAGTTAAAATGGATTTGAGAGGTAGATCAGTAGAAATAGTCATTGGTTTATTACAATTAAAGTGCTTGAAAGTTCTTAGAATAACATCTCTTCAGATCCTACAAGAGGTTATTGTTGTTTTACTAGAACTAGTATTATAATTGTCTTTGCAAAAAGTGAAATGATTTGTTTGAACTTAGGGTTACTCTAAAATGAAGTATGTTAATTGCTCATTTCCCCCTAAAACAAAACCTTTAATTTGGGACAATAGTTTTTTTATTAGTATCGTAATCTAAACTTTAAATATGTGAGAAGGTAGTAACTTCCTTTTCATATTTCTTTTACAGCTTGTAAAAATTAAAATGAATAAACTACGGCAAAGTTTCAGGAGAAAGAAAGATGTTTATGTTCCAGAGGCCAGTCGTCCACATCAGTGGCAGACAGATGAAGAAGGAGTTCGTACTGGAAAATGCAGCTTCCCAGTCAAGGTCAGACCTCATGTTTCTATAAATCTAGATGTAGAAAAGAACTGACAGTTTATTGTATGTGAAATTCCATTAATTAGGACAGTTAAAAGAATACACTTCAAAAGCGAATCTCTTTATATTCTTCTTCAATGACAGAATTAGTAAGAAGAAAAATAGATTATAATTAATGATTTTTCTCCTTGTATTTATTTATTTTTAAATATATGTGTTTTATTGACTTACATTGTTTCAGGTGCACAGCAAGGTGGTTCAGTTATACAAATACGCATATAGATCTCTAATAGATCCTAGTTTTGGTGATACAGAATTCTATTATTTTTCTGTTGACGAATCATGATACAGTAGTATTAAGTGAGTAATAATTATATAATCACAGTAGTAAAAGATTTGTTTATCAATTTTCACAATCAGTTCAGTTAAGTTGCTCAGTCGTGTCCGACTCTTTGCGACCCCATGGACTGTAGCATGCCAGGCCTCCCTGTCTATCACCAACTCCTGGAGTTTACTCAAACTCATCTCCATTGAATCGGTGATGCCATCCAACCACCGCATCCTCTGTCATCCCCTTCTCCTGCCATCAGTCTTCCCAGCATCAGGGTCTTTTCAAATGAGTCAGCTCTTCGCACAGGTGGTCAAAGTATTGGAGTTTCAACTTCAACATCAGTCCTTCCAATGAGCACTCAGGACTGATCTCCTTTAGGATGGACTGGTTGGATCTCCTTGCTGTCCAAGGGACTCTCAAGAGTCTTCTCCAACACCACAATGCAAAAGCATCAATTCTTCGGCGCTCAGCTTTCTTTATAGTCCAACTCTCACATCCATACATGACTACTGGAAAAACCATAGCTTTGACTAGATGGACCTGTGTCAGCAAAGTAATGTCTCTGCTTTTTAACATGCTGTCTCAGTTAGTCATAACTTTCCTTCCAAAGAGTAAGCGTCTTTTAGTATATGTGCTGCCGAAGCGAGCACAGAGTAAGCGTCTTTTAATTTCATGGTTGGAGTCACCTGCAGTGATTTTGTGAACCCAAAAAGATAAAGTCTCTCACTGTTCCCATTGTTTCCCCCATCTGTTTGCCATGAAGTGATGGGACCAGATGCCATGATCTTTGTATTTTTAGTGTTGAGTTTTAAGCCAGCTGTTTCACCCTCCTTTTTCACTTCCTTCAAGAGGCGCTTCTGTCATAATGGTGGTGTCATCAGCATATCTGAGATTATTGATATTTCTCCCGGCAATCTTGATTTCAGCTTGTGCTTCATCCAGCCTGGCATTTCTCATGATGTACTCTGTATATAAGTTACATAAGCAGGGTGACAGTATACAGCCTTGACATACTCCTTTCCCAAGTTGGAACCAGTCAGTTGATCTTTTGAACTGCATTCAAATGGGTATATCTTTCCTTTGCCTTTAGCTTCTCTTCTTTTCTCAGCTCTTTTACAAAGAGAGCTTCTTTGTAAGGCCTTCTGAGACAACCATTTTGCCTTTTTGCATTTCTTTTTTTTGGGGATGGTCTTGATCACTGCCTCCTGTACAATGTCATGAACCTCAGTCCATAGTTCTTCAGTCATTCTGTCTATCAGATCTAATCCCTTGAGTTTATTTGTGACTTTCACTGTATAATCATAAGGGATTTGATTTAGGTCATACCTGAATGGTCTAATGGTTTTCCCTACTTTCCTCAATTTAAGTCTGAATTTTGCAAGAAGGAGTTCATGATCTGAGCCACAGTTAGCTCCCAGTCTCGTTTTTATTGACTGTAAAAACAAGTCCTGTAATCAAGGAAATCCTATAATCAAATCCAGTTGCCCTTAAGACCAGTTTACCTGGGGATTCCCAATCTCTGTCAGATCCCCAGGCTGTAAAGCCTTAAGTGGGGTTTACAACCTTCACAGTGGTGGGAGAATTTCTTTGGAATTATTGTTCTGCAGTCTGTGGTCACCCACCCATAGGGTATGGGATTTGATTTTATTGTGATTGTGCCCCTCCTACCATCTTGCTGTGGCTTCTTTGTCTTTGGATGTAGATTATCTTTTTTTTTAGTTTCAGTGTCCTCCTGTTATGGTTGTTCAACAGCTAGTTGCAGTTTTGGTGCTCTCGAAGGAGAAGATGAGCACATGTCCTTCTACTCTACCATCTTGCACCAGAAGCCTTCTCATTATATTTAAATAAGAATTTCTGGTATATAATCTGAAATCACTACAAGTAAGACCACTTCTGATGAAAATACTAATCCTGAAATACCTAAAAATTCTGAATTATCAAGAATCGAGTAATCAACTTTTTTTCAGCAGAACATGCTTACTAATGGTGGAACAAAGGAAGTGGATGTCTGCTTTCTTAAATACAGGCCTGGTACTGACTTCAGACTATACTACAAAGCCACAGTCATCAAGACAGTATGGTACTGGCACAAAGACAGAAATATAGATCAATGGAACAGAATAGAAAGCCCAGAGATAAATCCACGAACCTATGGTCACCTTATCTTCGACAAAGGAGGCAAGGATATACAATGGAAAACAGACAACCTCTTTAACAAGTGGTGCTGGGAAAACTGGTCAACCACCTGTAAAAGAATGAAACTAGAACACTTTCTAACACCATACACAAAAATAAATTCAAAATGGATTAAAGATCTAAATGTAAGACCAGAAACTATAAAACTCCTAGAGGAGAACATAGGCAAAACACTCTCCGACATAAATCACAGCAGGATCCTCTATGACCCACATCCCAGAATTTTAGAAATAAAAGCAAAAATAAACAAATGGGACCTAATGAAACTTAAAAGCTTTTGCACAACAAAGGAAACTATAAGTAAGGTGAAAAGACAGCCCTCAGATTGGGAGAAAATAATAGCAAACGAAGCAACAGACAAAGGATTAATCTCAAAAATATACAAGCAACTCCTGCAGCTCAACTCCAGAAAAATAAATGACCCAATCAAAAAATGGGCCAAAGAACTGAACAGACATTTCTCCAAGGAAGACATACAGATGGCTAACAAACACATGAAAAGATGCTCAACATCACTCATTATCAGAGAAATGCAAATCAAAACCACAATGAGGTACCATTACACACCAGTCAGGATGGCTGCTATCCACAAGTCTACAAGCAATAAATGCTGGAGAGGGTGTGGAGAGAAGGGAACCCTCTTACACTGTTGGTGGGAATGCAAATTAGTACAGCCACTATGGAAAACAGTGTGGAGATTTCTTAAAAAGCTGGAAATAGAACTGCCATATGACCCAGCAATCCCACTTCTGGGCATACACACCAAGGAAACCAGATCTGAAAGAGACACGTGCACCCCAATGTTCATCGCAGCACTGTTTATAATAGCCAGGACATGGAAGCAACCTAGATGCCCATCAACAGACGAATGGATGAGGAAGCTGTGGTACATATACACCATGGAATATTACTCAGCCATTAAAAATAATTCATTTGAATCAGTTCTAATGAGATGGATGAAACTGGAGCCCATTATACAGAGCGAAGTAAGCCTGAAAGATAAAGACCATTACAGTATACTAACACATACATATGGAATTTAGAAAGATGGTAACGATAACCCTATATGCAAAACAGAAAAAGAGACTCCGATGTATAGAACAGACTTGTGGACTCTGGGAGAAGGCGAGGGTGGGATGTTTCAAGAGAACAGCATCGAAACACGTATATTATCTAGGGTGAAACAGATCACCAGCCCAGGTTGGGTGCATGAGACAAGTGCTCGGGCCTGGTGTACTGGGAAGACCCAGAGGGTTCGGGTGGAGAGGGAGGTGGGAGGGGGGACCGGGATGGGGAATACATGTAAATCCATGGCTAATTCATTTCATGTATGACAAAAACCACTGCAATGATGTAAAGTAATTAGCCTCCAACTAATAAAAATAAATGAAAAAAAAAATACAGGCCTGGTATCTTCTATAAAATCTTAAATCAGAAGAGTTAAATCAAAAGGGATTTTATCCTTAATCTTTTTTTTATCTATTTGAATAGATGGTTTTATTTATTTATTTATTTTTAATTGGAGGCTAATTACTTTACAATATTGTAGTGGTATCCTTAATCTTGTAACTTTTGAGTTCATTTAAACTAATGCCTTCATTTGTCACATCAGAAAATGGAAGCTTTAAGAGGTTAAGAACATAGTGAAGATCTGGAGAAGGGGGTGCCTTGTAGGTGCTTTTTGTTACTGCTACTTGAGACTGAAGAAGAATCCTCTGTATTCAAGGTCATAGAAGAAATAAATGTACGTGCTACACTGTTTAATGAGAAGAAGCAATTAATAGTTATATATACTGTGAGATGTGTGAGGAGGAAAAAATGGAACTACACCAAAATGTTAATATCTTGAAGAAGAAACTAGTTTAATTTGAAGTGTTAGCATTTTTCTCTATTTTTTTGTATATTCTTTTTTTTTTTTTTTTGTATATTCCTATGTGTGAATATTTTTATTGTGATTTTTTTCTCCTCCTTTTTTACTGCCTTGGTACTATGCATGAAACATGGACTAAAGCCTCAAAATGAAAAATAGTCAATATGATTGGAAAAGTGATTTTGAGAATCTCTGGGAACTTAATACATGACTCTTAAAATACACAAATTTTCCACAGTCCGTCAATGATGAAACATTTTCCTAATCACTTAGCTTTGTCTATGCGGCTCATTTGCTGAAACTTCTTTTATAGCAATAATAAACTTAATGTTTAATTTTAAGTGCTTAGTATGATATTAAGATACAAAAAAAAAAAATACAACCCCACCTCTCTTACATAAAACCTGACACTCTACTGCCCCACACCCAGCCAAACAGTAGATTATGATTATATAAATCAAGTATTAAGTATTGGGTTCCTTAACATCTTACAGAAAAACCCAAATGAACTTTTTGGCCAACCTGATATGTTGAAATGGGTCCTCTTACACATTGCTGATTGCTTGGAGGATACTTTGCAACCTCTTAGGAGGGCAATTTGGAAAATATCAG